ATAACTCAGTACAAGTACAGGTCATGCCTACAAGTGGAAAAGACTTTCACAGTGTCTCCTTGCTTTCAAAGCAGTATTAGATTAGGTGCTCATGAGTACTGATTAGCCAGTGACAATGCAGAGGTACAAAGTAGGATTAACACCTGGGGCAGATATTAAGCGTAGATGCACACATGCCCCATAACATAGCTAAAGATATGAATGTAGCAGATCCACTTGGAAAACTGCACTGGACAAAATGGGTCACGTGCCTGTAAAACTCATTGCTGCAACCTATTGTACCAAACCACAGGAGATGAAACTCCCATTAATATTAATGTCAGAATTAGGCCCTATCAACAGAGTTCTGATCTGGCTTAAAATTTCCCAGGGTTCAGGCTAGTGGTTTGGGTCAACCTAGTGTAGAGATAAGGGCCAGACACTAAATTCAGGTGTATCAAAAACCTCCTAAGGCCAGGATTTGGGTTCTATTAACATCCATTTCATCGCATTTCCTTGGGCTCTCCCTTGCTCCAGAGTATGTACTTCCTTATAAACCATCACCCAGGAAGGAGCACTCACCTTCCCTAGAACAGCAGCTGAACTAAAAAGCCATTGTTTGAAACGAGGGATGTCAGTCTGATGTGAATTCTTTGCCTCCTAGTTTGATCCCTCATGTTAAATTCACTGTCTCAGGAAGGGTGCAGACAGGAGCTTGTCATCAGCTGTTTATAGTAGCTCCCTAGATATTAATCCTGCTTTATTGGTCTCTGCACAGTGACCCAAATGCCTTTTGTAATGCATTGTCCATATATATATCTGACCTTTTTGGGTACACACAAAAGTAGCCACATCAGCACATTCTCTGGTTCTGCATCTTGGTAACCAAGTCAGACAGCTCTCCTGGATCACTAGGCATGCTACCAACAGTCCAGCAAATAAAACACTTGAGCTAAGTAAGTTACCAAAACCAAAAATATCCCCTTTCCTACATAACCACAACCCTCCTCTCTCTCACTCCCACACACATTTGTATTTTTAAGAGCTGGATTTTCTCTGCTAGATGAAAGGAATCCTGGCTGCCGAGGAGAGCTGTTTATTATTTGAAAATTAGCTCCAAAGATCAGTGGTATTTGTGTTTTTCAGTGACATTCTTTAAGCAAAGAGCCAAGAAGTGAACAGTGATATTCCCAAAAGAATTCACAGTCGGGGTAGAAAACCTAAACCCAGTGAGAAAATACAGGGGAGTTCTGTGTTTTCTTTTGTCACCTGAATTGTGGTTTTGCAAGGAAAGGGCACATTCAAGCCTCATTCCCTGTACACTCAGAGTGTCATTAATGACCACTACCAAGTCCCAGCAGAACTGAGCTTCTGGTGCTGATAAATAGGATTAATGTGCAGATTCACAGCAGTTATATGATAAGACACTCAGAGTTTGTCTACACTGGAATAAAAGGCACACAGTATGGCTACAATTGGCTCAGGTCAGCTGACTTGGGCTCACAGGGTCATGGGGCTGAAAATTGCTGTATAGATGTTTGGGCTTCAGCTGGAACCTGGGTCTGGACTCTCCCCCCACTGTGGGATCCCAGAACTTGGACTCCAGCCTAAGTCCAAGTGTCTAAAAGGCAATTTTACAATTCTGCAGCCTAAGATCTGTGTGCCCAAATCAGCTGACCTGGGCCAACCATGGGGATTTAATTCCTGTGTAGACACACAACTTCCAAGCATGAAAAGTATCCAGCATTATAACCATCCATGTGATTAGATAGCATATTGGAAATTGAAGACCAAGTTTTGTGCCAGCAGAATAATAACTATATGTATATTGCATTTATCAGCCAGAAAAATTGTACACATATCCACATTTTACATATATGAGAAACACCTCACCAACCACTCAATTGCAACCCCTTCTGTGGTGGAACATGACTCATGACCACTGTTGAACAGCGTGCAGCAACTCCACTCAGAACTTCAATGAACTATTTCACTGTTCTTTGTGGGACAGCAAAATAAATCCCCAGGAAGACACAAAATGATGCTTGCCAAGAAATGTGTGCAGGAGCTTAGTAATGGGCTATGGAGCCTTTTACCTTGATGTCACCTGTTCAAACCCTGCTCCATAGCAGCTAGAACTGGTCTCAAGAAATGGAGGGCAAAATATGGAAATGTTTATCCCATTTTTTTCATCCTTTCCCCCTAACTTTTCCCACTAGGTGATTGAAAAATTGAGGGGACAATTGTGCCCATTTTTTACTGAAAACTACATTTTTTCACAATGTGCCAACTATCTCCAGCAGCAACCAGAAGTCACAGTCATCATCAGTGGTGACAGCAGCTTCTGGCTTTGTTCCATTACCTACTGGTGAAGTGTCTCAATCACAAAACTGCTACCACATTTCTTGATTCTTCATCTAAGTGATTGAATCAAGACGAACCTTGACATATTGACATGACAGCCACAGGGCATGTTGCTGCTGTACCCTGGAACATCACACAGTTAATTACCTTTAAAAAAGTGACCATTGTTCTGTTTCTTGTTTCTGAGACCAGCCCCAGGAAGGAGAGAGAATGTGTCTTTGGTTTGGCTATTGCAACAGAATACTTTGGTTTGAGATCAGTACACAGTAAAAGGAGAGGAAGCAGAGAATCAAAGGCAGGCATGTTGGTCAGTTCTGCTCCAGGGCACTTGCAGGAGTACTTTAAAACAGCCATAGCCAATGTGGATAGATTAACTAGGCTGTGAGCTCCACATTGGGGAACTGTCCAGCAAAACTCCTCCTGAAAAAATAACGCAGCCTCAGCACTGAATGTGGCAGGTGGATACAAAGTCAAATAGCAACCACACCAAGGACCCTGCAATGTCCTTCCTGCTCTTTTCGCTCTAGGTGGGAAAGTGGCAGGAAAAGGCACCCAAAGTTTATAAATACTGTTTTGATTTGGTAATTATGCTCAAGGCTACTCAATGTGTTTGCACGGGGTCATGAGGCACTGGGACAAGCTGTAGACAAATAGCATTTGTATCTCTGCAGACTAATTAGTGACCTATTTTACCTCTCTATAAAAGCATCTGACACCTTATGGTTAGGACATAAACTAATCATCTGAATAAATCAAGAAGGACTGTTTTCTTTTTGTATGGTTCATTGGCCAACTGGCCAGGTGCGTTATTGGTATTTTTATTGTCCTCAGTCATCAGAGGTTTGCCCACTGCTAAAGGCAGCATACCAGACTAAAGTGACATATGAAATAGTCCTTACAGATAATATTCATCACAAATTTAGCCCCATTTAGGGTAGTCAAGCATTCATTTGAAGACTGATCCTAATTTCCTCTGGGCAAATTAATTATTCATAAATATTCACAGAATGTTCTAACAGAGTAATTTTCAGGCTGTGGAATGTTCAAACCCTTCACTTCAGTTAGTCTCTGTTTATCTTATATTATAGTTATTGTTTTGTGTTGAAATAGTACTTAGAGGCACCATCTAAGGATAGGGGGCCTCATGTTGCTATGCAACGTACATATGCATAACAAACAGTCCCCTGCCCCAAACAGCCTGTAATCCATGGAAAGTTCATTTGGCAAATAAGTCAGATGATTTTGTTTCTACTACCTAATTGGTGCCTGAAACCGTAACAGATCGTGAATAAGCAATATCCTAATTTTAATACAAATTTTTGAATGAATTACCATTTGTAATAAAATTCAAGAAACTCTAAATAGTCACAAATGTTTTCATGATTCTCTGATGCTCATTTGAACACTCACAAATGATGATCAGTAAATCCCCATAAATCACAACAAACCAACCTCAGCAATTTTATTTGCTAAATGACGATTTTCATTTTTATTTTTACTATTCAGTCAACTCTAGACTGATCTACTATGGCAAACATAAAGGAAGTCCTACAGACCTGTGAGGCCAACTAACCCGTTCTCTTCCCAGTGCAAAAGAGATTCTAGGCATCAGGGATTCCATCACCTCTGTGTGGAGAGTGAGCTGTAGCAAGTAGGGCTTTTCTTTTCACAAAGTGAATTTGAGAAGCAGCGTGATACAAATAAATGGCAAGATCAATACAGGAGTGCAACCTTCAAGCACAGCTTTCTGTTTATGATGATAATAATATAAACAGCTTTGAACTTTGGACTTGGACACCATCTTCCATCCGAGGATCTCAAAGCACTCTTCGAACATTAAGTGTCACAGTATTCCTCTTGTGAGTTAGGTCACTATTTATATCCTCATTTTGCAAATACATAAAACTGAAGTAAAGTGACATATGGTCACATAGGGTATGTCTAGACTACATGGCTCCGTCGACGGAGTCATGTAGATGAGTTTACTAGACATAGGAAAATGAAGTGGCGATTTAAATAATCGCCACTTCATTTACCTTAAAATGGCCACCGCGCTGTGCCAATCAGCTGTTTGGTGGCACAACGGGGCAGTCTGGACGCGCTGCGGTCGACAAGGGAAGCCTCTGTCGACCGCTCTAGTAACCTCATTTCATGAGGCATACTGGAGCGGTCGACAAAGGCTTCCTTTGTTGACCACGGCGCGTCCAGACCGCCCCACTGTGCCGCCAAACAGCTGATCAGCACAGCGCGGTGGCCATTTTTATGTAAATGAAGTGGCAATTATTTAAATCACCGCTTCATTTTCCTATGTCTAGTAAACTCATCTACATGGCTCTGTCGACGGAGCCATGTAGTCTAGACACACCCATAATGAGTCTATAAGAGATAGAATTAGAAGCTAGGAGCTCTGATTTTGAATTACTGTAACCACTAGACTATACTTCCTTCCATCATGCATAGGTAACACCATAAGAGGCATAACTCCTTGTGTGCCTGAGGAAGGAATGCAGCAGTGTTGGCTCATTATAAGATCCTGCCTAAACAAATTATTATGACAGTGTTTCAGTTCCAATCAGACTATGGGACAATGTTGCAAACCAATGCCATTCTGTTCTGCCTCCTGCAGACAGC